TCTAGTGACCACGGTAGAGTTGGACTCTATGAACTCTGAGGTCTCTTCCAACCTGATTGATTCTATGATTCTGCAAATACCTGAGACTTGTGCAGCTTGTGCCGTAGAGGGTAGAGCAATTTACAAACAATAGTTTGTGGTCGGGATTACAGAGAGACTAATCAACAGGAAATAGTTTTGCAGGAAAATTAGCAGCCACCCGATTTTGCCAGATGAAGTGTAGAACTTGGGAATATGTCTGCTGGCAATATTACTGCATTGAATTAATTAGTTTTGAATTTAATTACTTTTGAAGCATAGGCAGAGGTTGCCCAGGGAGGTAGTGGCTGCCCCAACCCTGGCAGTCTTCAAGGCCAGGTTGGATGAAACCTTGAGCAGCCTGCTCTAGTGGGAGATGTCCCTGCCCATGGCAGAGGGTTGGGACTAGATGATCTGTAAGGTCCATTCCAGGCCCTAAAATTCTAGATGCTATGGTATGGTATGAGTGCCCATAGGATTGGCACTGTTTGCCAGTGCCAAGCTCCTCATGATGCCCTCTGGTATTCTAGTCATGCCCTGCAGCAAGGTGCAAGACTTGTGGTGAATCCCCAGGCTATGTTTTCCTGTGCAGTTTACTGAGAACTGAATGTCAGATATGAGAGAAGGAAAAACAAGGAGTGCTGTTGTGTCATTTGTAGTTGATGCACATAGACATAAAAACACCATAGATTTTCTGTATCAACTGTTGTAAAACCACACAGGAATGAGTGCCTGGAGCCTGTGGAAATCAGTAAGCATTTGTGTGCTGATTTCCTAGGAAGTAAGAAGTAGAGCTTGTTAGCTAGAAGGCCACATTCTCTGCATGCCTTTATGCATGCTTAAACCCCTGGGTAATTTTGTTCCAGGTTCATTTACAATGTAATTGTTGGTGTTTAGCATTCACATTCACATATATGCTGAGATAATGCGTAAGAATTGCTGCATATCCATATCCTTATATGGAAATGCATACATATAAATATATATCTGTCCACCAGACAGTTTTTTGTTCAAGCTTGCTACTGGAGTTTCCTGTTCTTTCTGGGCTCTTGAGGTGCTTGGCTACTCAAAATTCATGGTCATACAGATTGTTAACCAATGCAAATGAATTCATAATGGCATTAGAGAACTTGACCATAGCTCAGCTTGTGTACAAGAATTCTGGAGTGCAGGGAGCACGGTACAAGGAGGTATTTGGAAATAGCTCTAGTGAAGAACTCAGTGCCTGGGGTCTCCCAGAGCTGTATCCCAGGGCAGCTCAGAGTGTGTTGCTTGTGTTTGTTTCTCTATCCCTTCTGTCTCCTCTACAAAAGTTGCCTTCAATCCTGTAGGTGCAAGTTTTCTAGAGCAGTGTCCACTTAAAACCCAAAGCTCCTGATGCATCTGAGTTTGTGAGATGTCTTGCATGTTCTCTTGAGGGAAAGTGCCCTATCTGGTGTGAGAAGTATTTTCCTACAAGGTTAACTCAAGTTACAGCTCTAGGAATAATCAAAATGTTGGCTTCCCTGAGCAGGCAAAGAAGAAAATTGCCCCTGACTTGCTGTACTGTAACAGTGGTGTTGACATAAGTCAGTACCTAACATTACTCACATGCAGTGCATGGTAGCAAACAGAAACAGCAAGTGCAGGTCATGTCACTCAGCAGAGTTAGATCACTGTTAATCAACTGACATTCCTAACTCTCTGTTATCTCCTGCAAGGAAGGATTTTGGTAAAAGAGAATTTGCTTGTGTGACTACTATATCTTGATCAAAACACTGGGCAGTAGCAGTCCATAAAAACACTGATTTCTTTTACTGGCAATTGAGAGCCATGATTTCTGCAGTAAGCTCTGCAGACCAGGCACAGGCAGGAGGCTGCCACGGATTGCCTCAGAAGCTGCAGTTTTCAGCCTGTGGTCCCTTTGAAAGGCTCCTTGTAGTGCTCTGGAGGAAAAATGAATGTAATGTCAGTGGACTTGATCATCCAGTATGGACATTCCTG